GTCAGCTTGAAAAAGCCATTCTAAAGGGTTAGAGCCATCAAACATGGCAAGTTCCAGCTTTGGAGTGCGGTACTGTGGTAAGGGGGAATTTAGGAATATGGGTTTTGGGGGAAAGTGGGGAGATTGTAGGGTTGATTAGAATGGAACGTTTGTGGTGAGGGGAGGTACAGTGGAAAAGATGGTAAGGGTATGGTAGATGAGGTTCTGGGTGGTATATTGAAGACGGACGACTGATGTAGGTTAGTGAAGACAGCGGACGTTCGTAGTGGCGTGCTGGTAGGGGTGTTGTGAAAAGGGGTGTTTTGTGTAAGGGTTATTTGTGGGGGATTTTGTGGAAGACCATATGAGCTAGCTGGGGAATTAGTAGTAATGGGGGGAGGATCTTTTTGAATGACAAGCTTGTTAATGAAGGACATGAGTGCTTCAAATCTAGAATCTGCAATATTTTTTTCATTATCGAGCCAAGTATGAATCTGAGGGATCTGCTGTTCTAACTCAGCGGTAGCTCGATCAAAGCATTCATCCATTTATTGTTGGGTTTGAGCCATTGCGTTGTGTAAATGAATGTGAGCTGTTTGAACAACTTCTTCAACAATATCATTAGGGTTTTGGCGTTTTGTGGGAGCCATGAGAGCAAGGAATGAAAGCACCAATGATAGAACCTACTATACTACCAAGATCAGAATTGCATAAGAAGAAAAATAGCAAAATAACAACTTCATTCATATCCTCAAAAATATCTCATACAAGATATTTATAGTAGGGTTACATAAAAGTAAATGTGCCTAATTTACTGACCCATTCAAATACACTTGAAAAATACTAAACACACCTCTAATTAATAATAAAGTCCTTAAGTAACACAGAAGCTTTTTTTATTCTTTTGGATCTGGTTACTTTCCTAACATTGTCTCTGTTAAACATGGATGTCGCTGCTACTGCTACTTTGTGTTATTGTCGGCGACTCTTCGCGGTTATCGCAAAGTTTTTATGGTGTAGCTTGACGTTGCTCGGTGTTGTTATAGATGGAAGTGAAGGCGATGCGTGGGGTTATGGAAGAGTTTGTGGATCCGCAAGCAATTGATGAAGGTGTGGGAAGAATATTGGTGATTGTTGTGATGATGAGCGACCTGAGGCAATGAGTGGCAACAGGCTTGAGGGAGGAAATCGTCGGTGAATTTATGACGGGAATGGTGGAGTAGAGAGGTTTTGGTGGTGCGGAACGGCTGAGGAAACGCTTTGGTGGTGGTGCGGAATTTGGGCTAATGGCACGGCGGAGGGAGTGATTTGAAGGAGAAGAGGAAGAAGACCTTTGTTTTTCCTTCTTTTTCGTCCCCACCTCTTTTCCCCTTTTTCCCCTTTTTGTTCTGAAAAAAATGTTGAGAGAAGATGCCCCTCTCTTACCAGCCGCCCCTTTCTTATCCTTTTCTTTTTCTTTCTTTTTTTAATTTTTATTATTTAATTAAATATTAATATTATTACTATTATTATTTAAAATATTTTTGGCAACCCCTCTAGCCAAGTGTCATCCTATAATTGGACAAGGTGGCACAAATTTTTAGAACACTCAATTGAAGTTGGACAAGTGTCTTAATGACATGAATAAAAATGTTTATATTTTTTTGATTTTTTATCAATTAAACAAAATAAAATAAAATGCTAAATTATAATTGGCTAATGAAAAAAAGTGAGGATAATGCATGTAAACCCTTAATTAAATTTAAATCTAACGATCCATATTTAATCAAAGAAACACGTTTAATTTAAAATGCCAAAGTTGCTATTTCTAGAAGCTTTGATTAATATAGTAAAATTAAATCAATTAAAAAACCACTAAAAATTTCCAACTTATTAAATAAACATGATAAAAATAAAATTCAAGTATGGAAAATTCTAATTAATTATGCTAAATATTTTGATGAAAAGATAAAAATAAATTGAATGAAGAATACTGTATAGGAAATGATTAACGCGAAATAAATGACTCAGAAAAATACAGTGCCCAGTCAAATTTAAAAACTGACCGGGACCGATAAAAAAGGCTCAGACCGATCAAAAAGTGATTGAAAATTTGTCGAGATATAAGGCGATCACGCTAGGTCAAGCTTTATGGAAAGTAGGTCAAAATCACTAACATATGCAAGCTTAAATTCGAAACTTTTCAATCACTGGTTTTTCTCGTATATTTGAGACATAATTTGACCAGTCCGTCTGCATATCCAATAAATTTATTTTGGCTAATCATTTTAGGAATTATTCATGTTGAAATGTATGTTATGTTGTACAAGCGATGCAAATTGAAAATAAAGTCAGACAAATGAAATTTTGAAAAAGGTAGGACAAATTTGGAGTATGACAGTTACCACACATTCAGACTTAGTGAAATTGACTTCCAACCCTTGATCACACAAATGACGTATGCTTATCAAGTTGCGAGTCAATCCTTTTGCTAGTAGCACATTCTCAAGACTAGGAAATCCTAAACAGGATAGTCTTCCCACCCCTTAAGTATTTCCCTTGGCACCATCCCCAAAGGCAAAATAGTTAGTAAAGTGTGACCTAATGTTGACCAGAAACTCCTCAACATCAGTCATGTGTCTAGAACATCCACTATCAAAATACTAATCTTCCTTAGTTGAAACTCTAAGAGAAGTTTGAGTAATAAGTGAAGTAATAACTTCTTTGGGAACTCATTTATTTGTAATCTTAATCACTTCATGATTAACCTTGGGTTGTATAGAAGACGTTGGATATATATACATTTTGAAACAGTAAGGCTTGATATGATCAAATCTACCACGGTAATGACATCTCCAATGCAAGGTCTTGCTTCCTGCTTAATACTTTTGATGTCTTGTACGATGTTGAAACATTTATTTTGACATCATTGACTCTTGCTTCTTTCTAGTAGGGAAAAAGTTTGTAACCTTAGGATCTTCTTTTAGAGTTTGATTATCAAACCCTATGCCTTTTAAGTCACCAGTCCTTTTTCCAACTTGAAGAATTTCATCTAACATGTTAGAACTATTATTCAACATTCTCACAAACTTGGTCATATTTTCAAGTTTGCAGGTCAACATGGTTACTTCATCCTGCAGACTATGGATGTTGGACAAATATTCTTCCTTCTCACTCTGAAGCTGATAGATAATTTCCTGTTGCAATTAATGCCTAGGCGCATGAGCTCTCCCCGTGTTAGGTAGTGGTCTGCCCGACTGTAGAGAGTACTGAGCGTGCCCGACGGAATGGAGGATTGGGCCTTATTGGGCCTCCCTAATGTAGTATTGGGTTGGGCATGCCCGACTGTGGGGCAGGTATGGTCCTAGCCTAGAACAAAATCTTTCATCAGCCTTAAGGTTGAGGTATTTATATGAGTCATCTTGAACATGGATCTTAGGCTCCAATTAACAACAATCTCAAGAACATGCGGGAATGGGTTGTTATTCTATTATTCTTCTGAGGAAAGTGACCTTCGTCTTTAACAAACTCTCGTTACTGAGCATGGACATGTCGCTTTCCACGTTCTCACAAGTGGGCAAATAACTCAATCAAATAGTGAGTGTTTCAAATGACAGATGCTCGTTACAATAAATAGAAGAATATTATAAGTAAAAGGCGACAAGAGCCCTGCTTTGAATGATGAACGTTAACCGCTTATTCTTGGTGAACATTGTGTTACGTTCTTCACAATCCTTGCAAATATATTAATACAAAATTCAATGTCCATGAACTAAATTAGATCATTTTAACGGAGATGACTTTATTTTTTAAAATCAATTTCAAATCTATTTGAATTTAAGTAATTTAGAAATATGGTGGATTTATCTAAATGAGGTGGCTAAACTCAACTTGATTTCGATACATCAGATACAAATATTTAATATAAAGTGGAATAGAGCTGAACGAATATTTTAGCTTATTGTTTAAAAATTAATTTTATAAAAAAGACAAGAGACAAATGAGAAAGAAACAAAAATAATAATGATATGCAACTCAATTTCGCTTCCCTTTATTTTAAATGATTCAAACAACTCTATTTCACTCCTCTCCCTCTAATTTTAAATAATTCAAACTATCCAACATTACTTCAAAAAAAAAAAACTTTTTCACTGCTCTCCATCTAATTTTAAATAATTTAAACTATCGAACATCATTTCAAAAAAAAATTGCATTCTATACATCCTTCCATCTAATTTTAAATATTTCAAACTATCAAACGTCAATCCTTTTAATTATTTCAAACTATCAAACATCAATTAAAAAAAAAAAACTTTGCATTCGCTCCATCTAATTTTAAATAATTCAAACTATCCTGGAAAGAAAAAAAACTTTACCTTTTAGTTTTTACTTTGTGAAATGTATTTTATTATCTTTACTATAACGTATAAAATAAAATTTCAAGATTCACATTTATACATTAAACAGAAGTGGCATTGACACTTCAGCAAAAAGATAAGAGGTGATATATAACATCGTTGGATGTGCCTAGAGTGAAATAATTCTTCTTAGAAAGCATCAACTTAACAAAGACTATATATTTTATTCATTTTCCGCAACAAAACCACAACGAAGAATTATGTTGCATATGCTTGACGGCCAAAAAAAAAATGACAAAAATTGACAGATAGAATGGTAGAACAAAGCATCTAACAGTATTAAATTATTATTTATTTACAGACGCCCCAAAAATCCAAAATCCTATTAAATTTAATACACATAAGTAATAGGCAAAATGCAACGTAATGATATTCGTATATCTTTTTTCTACCCCGGAGATACGAAAGCCGATCTCAAATGGATTATACAGATCAAAAACAAATTTGACTGGAAAAATATTTCAAAGACGGGATCATTCCATGGTGACACACAATTGGAACAAAATATTAGTTTTATTCAAAAAAAACGCATAAATTATAGCTATTGAGAACACCAAATCTACATTTGAAACTCGAGAAAATTCTAGATCTGAGAAATACAGATAAAAACCCTAAAAATCAAATCTAAGAACTGGTAAATTTGGTAACCGCCTTGGTTCCTTCAGAAACAGCATGTTTAGCCAATTCACCAGGAAGAACCAAACGCACCGCCGTTTGAATTTCGCGTGACGTGATGGTAGGTTTCTTGTTATAACGAGCCAATCTAGAAGCTTCCTGAGCGAGTTTCTCAAAGATATCGTTTATAAAACTGTTCATGATTCCCATAGCTTTGCTTGAAATACCGATATCAGGATGAACCTGTTTCAGAACCTTGAAGATGTAAATCTTGTAGGTTTCAACGCTCTTCTTCACTCGCTTCTTCTTCTTGTCGCTTCCTCCTTCCTTCGAGATCTTCTTCTCGGCCTTTGGCTTTTTCTCCGCTGGTGCTTTCTCTGCCGCTGGTTTCTTCTCTGCGGGCTTCTTTTCTGCCTTTGCGGGAGCCATGGATCGGATTTGAGAGTTTTCCGGTGGATTGAAGAATGTGTAAAATTGACTAAGATTGATGATGAATGGATGAAGATGACGGAAAATAGATAGAGAATATATAGGAATGAGAAACTGAGTCTGGTTGGAGGATTGGGTTTCACGCGGATCGGTGACGTGTTTCATTTTATGTTCGTTGATTAATTTTGGTCAATTAACGGCTGAGATTTTATTTATCGTGCTCTGCGCCGAGTAGTTGCGGATCGCGAGTTTGGTGACGAATAGTAGGTGCTTTGGTTGAAGCACGTATCTTCTGTCATTGCGATTTTTTATTTTTATTTATGTATAAACGGTTGCTTTTCTTTTAACATTTATATATTTTGAGGCAACTATAATATTTTGAGAAAATCAAATACTTCATTTCATTAAATTAAGTTAAAGATGATAAAAGTTAGGGAAAATAATATTTGTTGTCTCTTAATTTTAAAAAGTGGTATGTTGATCATCTAACTTTTAAAATAGTGTCGCGTTTATCTTTTTTTCTGTTGTTATTAGTCAAAGTTTAAAAACAATTGTCACGTTTGTTCAGGTGAACTTAATATTATTGACGTGGATATGAAATGTCTTAAAACAAAATCCCCTCTGAACTGATTTTTCATTACCCAGAAGATAAAAGGATTGTTCCAACGAAGCATTGAAGACGATTTAAGGATTGTTCCAGACGCGAAAGATGGAAGACGCGAAGGATTGAGGGTGAAGGATTGAAGACAATTGAAAGAGACATTATCAAAAGTTACTTTGCTTCTCTCAGGTTTAGGGTTTACGAATCTCATAGGGTAATATCTGCTAGAGATTCAGATTTAGGGTTTATGTAAATTTTGTAGTGTAAACTCTAATTAATTAGGTAATATGATTAGATATCATGGATGAATACATAACTCTCAAAATTCATCATAGCGGTGAGTTCACCGATGAAGGTCGTAGTGTATATGAGAATGGAGTAGTAGATGATTTGAGAATAGATGTAAATAATGAAGTTATTTTGAGCTAGTTAGTGTATTGAAATACTTGGGTTATAGGGAGTTTGAAACAATATATTACAAGGACCCTCAATTTGGGATGAATGCACTTGTTGATGACAATGGTGCTTTAGAAATTGTAGATCTTTATAGGGTGCACCAAAATGTTGATATTTATATTGAACACACCTTGTCTCAACCTGACTACTGCAATGTTGTTGTTGATGAAGTCGATGAGGGCCCTGCTGAAATTGTAGATGAGGTGGAGGAGTTACTTATTCAACTGCATGATGAAGTTGTGGGAGTTGAACAAACCACTGTTGTGATGGAGGAAGGTGATGTTAAAGTTGATCAAGCCACAACTGGGTTGGAGGAAGGTAATGTTAAAATTGATCAAGTGAATCCTGTAGTGGATGAATATACTGTTGGAGTTGAACAAGGTAAATCTGCAAGGGAAGAGTGTAACGTTGGAGTTGGAAAAGGTAAACTTGTAGTGGATGATGACTTAAGTTTATCTTCTGATGATAGTGAAGATGAGGAATACAATTATGATAGTGCACAAGAAGTGGCTTTTAAGGATGAGTCTGATAGGTATTATGAGATTGAGGAGGATGAACTTGATACCCTAATTGGTCATGAAAATGATGGTAATGGGGAAGTCCAAGAGCTTAATGATAAGTCTTTAGAAGATAAAGGGAGTGACAATGACGGTGAGGACATGCAAAGTGGATGTGACAGTGATGATAGCAGTGGAGTTCTAAGAAAAAAGCATCTAATATTCAGACAGCCAAAAGACATGTCAGATTACAAGTGGGATATGGGAATGTATTTTAGTTCAAAGGGTAATTTTAGGGAAGCAATAATATCTTATTTTGTGCAAAATGGTAGAGACCTAAGGTTTGTAAAAAATGACAGAGTTAGGGTAAGGGTTAGATGTAAAGTTGGTTGTGAGTGGGAGTATAATGTGAAGCTGGTGAGTACAAAGTGGTTGAGTAAAAGAATTCAGAATAGCTTGAAAAATAATCCAATGTTGAGTATAAAGGATATCAAGGAGAAGGCACACAAAAAGTAGAATGTTGGGGTCAACAAAACAAAAGCTATAAGAGCAAGATTTGCAGCTAGAGATTATGTAAATGGTTCTTTTTTGGGAGATTACACGAGGGTCTATGACTATTGTCATGAATTGTTAAGAGCCAATCCAGGGTCAATAGTTAAGATCAATGTTGAGCTTGTACAAGAAGGTGTTGAAGATCAAAGACCATATATTTAGAAGGATTTACATATGTTATGTTACGTGTAAGGAAAGCTTTTAAGTTATGCAGACATGTAATAAGTCTATACGGGTGTTTTCTCAAGGGGTTGTGTGGAGGGCTGATTCTTCCTGCCATATGGAGGGATCCTAATGACCAGATGCTTCCCATAGCATATGCAGTTGTGGAGAGTGAAAACAACGATAGCTGGACTTGGTTTTTAGAGCTGTTAATTGATGAACTTGGAGGCAAATATCAATGTTTGACTTACACCTTCATCTCAGACTAACGAAAGGCAAGTTTTTCATTTATTCTTATGGTTTTATACATTTCTGTTATGTTATTCTTGTTATGTTATATTGTTATGCTACATTGTATGTTATGATATTGCAGGGTTTTCTACCTACTATGGATGAGCTATTACCAAGGGTGGAGCACAGGTTTTATGTTAAGCACCTCTATAACAATTTTAGGAAGAGGTTTCCTGAAAAGATGTTGAAGGATATAATATGGAAGGCTACCAAGTCAACATACCCACATGCATGGGAAAAAGAGATAAAGGGAATGAGGGACATAGATGGAGAAGCATTTAAACATATGATGAAGACCCCACACAGGTGTAACACCCTAAAATTTGCCTTTCCGTTTTAGCAACATCTGCCTTTTGTTTCTTTACATTTTCGCATTTCTGCATTTGCATAGCATTCGTTCTTGAGACACGGGATCAAGGTTTTCATGTGGTCTGGTTTTCATTTTTGGTGCAAGAGACGGAACAATGAGCATCAGAGTCCCTGGCCTTTATTTTGCCCAGCGGTCGGGCGACAGATTTTATTTTATTTTATAGGGCATTTTTCAGATCAGAAAGCAGCATTCAGGCTATATCAAGCATTCTCACAATGATAATATTCAAGAGCAAGATTTGAAAGCTTAACAGAGCTCAAAACGGCAAGAAACGGGCGAACGGCCAGATTTCCCTCCAAAAGGCGCCAAATTCAAAATTTTGAAGGTGTTAATCGGTTAACACATTTGGTTAATCAATTAACCAAGTAAAAATTAGGGCAGATTGGGATTTTTAAAGGTGTTAATCGATTAACACATATGATTAATCGATTAACCAATGTAATTTTTGCCTCTGTACGTGAATTGTGAAGAAAAACCACTTTGGGGTCCAATTTTGATCACTTGGAAGTTCAATTTTACACTTGGGAAGGATCTAGAATCGTCTTGAATTTTGGTTAATCTCATTTTCCCTCCAAATCTCCATTCCTCATTCCAAACCAAATTTCACAAACCACATTCCAAACCTCTCATTTGGATCCAAACCTAAGGAGTATTTAAGTGATCTACTCCAAACCTCATACATCTAATCTTCATTTTCACTCTCATTTATATAATTCATCTCAATTCTCCCAATTTTCTCTCAACTTCCAAAACCTCACCAAAACTCTTCATCCATTGAATTCTTTAATTCTCCATTGGAATCAATGAATTCTTGAGCTAAAACCTTCAACCTTTGTCATCATCATCTCCATTTTTCCATTTGATTTTCATGCAAATTTGGATCTGAATCTTGAAGTGGTGTTGGAATTGCTTATTTGGAGTAATTTGGCTTGATGTTGATTGATCTTCATTCTTACTACAAGAATTCAATTGGATCTTAAAGTTTTCCGAATTTCTCGCTTGGATCTATTCAATCGGAGTTGAATCAACAATTACCGAAGCAAATCTTCGCTTCGTAGGTTGGAATCTTAGATCTATTGTTGTTTCGAACTTATTTTGTATGATCATGTGGATTTTCATCTTTGATTGACTTTTGGTTGATTTGATCCATTTTATTTGTGATCTTGTTGTTTAAATGTGTTTACATGACCATTAGATCACTGTTTTATGGTTTAATTTCGTGCACAATTGTTTGTGAGATCATATTGATGTATGCTTAAGTGATAAGTTTCTGAAAAGTGGTTTTCTGTTGTTGTTTTCTGCCGTTGGAATAGTGTTAATCGGTTAACCAATTGGTTAATCGATTAACTAACTCAAATATTCAAATTTTCACGCATTTTTCAATGGTTAATCGATTAACCCCTGGTGTTAATCGATTAACACTGTGTCAGCAGGCCTGTTTTGCTGTTTTTCATGCTCGTTGTGGTATCGTTTCACTTTGAATCTTCATAGATCATTATGATGTATTAGGAGTGAGATGTTTTGGACATATGTCACTATTTTCGATTTTTTAATCGTGATTTCGTTGACACGTGTGTTTGGTTTCCACTTGAGGCATACTTTCGTAGTTGTCGTTCAAAGTGATGGTGTGCTTGCATGTTCATGTTTGCTTGATTTCTTGCATTTATTTGCTTTGTGTGCATTCTTTTTGTAGCTTCTTTCTTGCATTAATAAAGGTCGAGATGTTCTTGTGGTGGTGCTTACCCCACACTTTGTTCCTCCCTTTGTTTGTGTGTTGCGTTCCACGTTTGCATCCCTATTTTCACTCTCATTTGTGTTTGATCTTTTTTCTTCTTTTGTCTTCCTTTGCCATGTCCCCTTAGGATCTCTAATCTCTTGAGATTATGATAGAACTTAGGACTTAAACCATGTATGACAATATTAGGTATCGTTCCCTTTTACCTCAATCATAGGACCATTTTACATGACAACTACTAGGTTTGAGTTAGTCTCTCTTTAGTTTGTCCTCTCTCCTTCTCATCTTCAAATCTTGTCAAAACACTTAATAAAGTTTAACGAATATTGTGCCTTA